CACAACCACTGCCTGTACAGAGCATGATACAACTGGGCAGCGCACAACCACTGCCTGTACAGAGCATGATACAACTGGGCATCACACAACAGCACACAAACACTTACTACAAACAACACAACCTCAACATCACATGGCATCCCAGTGCAGATAAAAATGAATGTGTTGGCAGCTGTGTGAACAATTTATTTTTTTTTTAAAAGCATATTACATCCATTCCATTTGTTGGGTTCCGTTTATTGTTGTTTTGTCTTCCAAAGTGGAACTTCCTGCAGGATCTCAGTCGAAGCAATTAAAACACAACTTGGCTCCCCTGGGGCCAATTCTATCCCCTGGAAGCTTGAAAAAAGGGTATGTGCATCTGCGTGTGTCCACGCACACACTAGGTTTATTTAAATCTTTCTTTACTGCTTAGAAAATTCAGTGTGGACAACAGAATGGAGCAAAATAAATCAGCTAGAGTGCCACACAGGAGCCTGCAGGGTGGGAGTGTAATGTAATATTACATCTGGTATTCCTGAGGTGCTCTAAACATATACCTGCAGAAGAACTAAGCAATGCCTCATACCACACATTTTCTCTCAGAAGATATTGACGGTATCCCATAAAACAAGGAAAAACTAATTCCATTTATTTTGTTTAACATTTAGCTAAAAGTAGACATCATAGAATGCAAACTCGATTAAAGTCATGAATGAACTGCTTACTGCTGTATACCCATTTTTAAGCCCCTTCCAGAAATAACACCCATCTCCTTTTCTTCAGAACAGACAATGACTCCTCTGATGCTCAGAAACAGAGGAGGCTGCTCTTTTACAATTGACATTTTTTCCACAGTGCAAGTTCCTTCAAATTCTGTGTGAGTCAGTTCACACCTTCATTTTCACTCAGTGGCCCAAATAATGTTGTGACTCAACCGTGACCCTTCTGTTTTACTTCTCTTCCAGTTGTTACCATTATTTTATTTCAAAAGCAAACTTATACTTTATTCAATTATTAATGAGTATGCTTTATTCAACCACATTTTAAATTAATGGCTGGCACTTCAAGGTGGCCTTGAACTTAAGTAACCAGAATAATCAAAATGATTATCTGAAGAAAACCAATAAGAATCAGATTTCAGAGATCAGTATTTCATGCTTTCTTTCAAAATGTATTTCAGAATTTGTTGCTGGTGTGGCCCACCAACCTCCTCCAACTAGACATGTGATTCCAAGCCACACCCACCTCCCTTGTCAGCCAATCGGATGTCATTGCTGTTCCCCTCATAGGTAAACAGAGCCCTGCAAAGAGAAGAAAAACACGCATAATGTATAATTCAGCACCTGTACAAAAGCAACAATTCTTCCTTTAGGCACACAACCATTCCCAAGACAGTGATATAGTATACTATTCTTTTCTATCAAATTTGACAGAGGTGCATGCTAGGCCTAGACTCCCTACTTATATGAGTTAATCAATCAATCAAAGTTTATTTATCAAATGCAAAACAATACAGCATGCACCAGTAGTTGCTGGCAATGAAATGTATTTTCTGCGAGCTAAATACCATTACAGTGATTAACTGAAGGAACTGCAGCTTCGCTGTTTAGCAGTCTTATTGCCGATAGCTGAACTTTAATTGACAAAAACTATTAGACATAACTCACTTAAAGGCAGTGTAAAGAAAATTATGAATAGCTAGAGCTGAACCACCCCTTACCTAAGGCACGTCTCTTCTCATGGCCGGTGGAAGCACTATTTAGTGATGTAATAAAATGGTTGTATTAAAATGATCAAATGCACTAGTAACACTTCCTTTTTAATGCAGTGTACACCACAGGCCAAAAAGATTTCTGCTCAGATGACAATGATCAGATAAATCCAGGGCTGAAAGGAATGTGGCACACTGACGAGCTGTGTGAACTGAACCTTTTTTAGTCTCAAACAGAGAACACAGCAAGAATTCAAAACAATGCACAAAGACATCTTCAAAGTCAACCTAATAGACCTGAAAACAGACCAGGGGTGACAGTCTGTAAACAAAAGGTTGTGAGAATCCATTGCACACTGGAACTCTCATGTCCCTGAATTGGTGGCCAATCTGGCAGTCATTCACAATGCATATGACCTTTATAAACACGCCCCAGTACAAACATGATCAATCAGTAATATCTTCTCTTCAGTATGGTTAAGGCTTTTTTGAACACACACACACACACAATTAACTTGTTCTGATAAAGACGCCCTCACAAACACAGACAGAAATTAAGACAGCTACTTCCTCTTCCCAGCCCTCATCTGCTCTGCCGCAGAATGCAGTCATCTCAACTGGCCACTACCGACGCCTGGCTGAATTTAGCACATCAAACCACAGGTAGTCTTTTTGTTCACAGAGACTTTCATGAGCAGCATCTATAACTGGCGATAGAGCAGCAAGCAATCTCAGTCCACAAGTGCAGTAAAAGTGACGGCAGTGGCCTTATAAACCTTTATGCAATGCGGCTAATACTGCGTGTGTAAAAAAAAAGATTCTGGTTAATAAGAGGCTTATTTCGTGGCTGAAGAGATTTCAACACAATACATCACAGTTTCTCAAGAGTATTGAACTACTTTTCTCATTTCTTATGCATTCGCCTCTATCAAGTACCGAAATGGTGTGTTGCTTTCTATCTTAATTCCATTTAATGACATCAAAGTACGCATACCTAGTGCAAGCAAAAATAAATCTAATCCAGGAAATGGTATTTATAAGCAGGGGATTTGAGAAACCATCTTAGTTTTGTCTTTCAAAGCTTTACGATTCCAAAAACAATAAATCTCCCAACAGCCTAGATTACATGTATAAAGAAAGGTTCTTGCTGTAATGACGATTTGTATCCTCTCTGAAAATGGGCACTACCAGGCACTACCAGTTATTTAGCATTTATTCTACTGAAGAAAAACTTACTGCTATTCCTTTGGAACACTTCTGAGAAGTCAGATTTTTGAAGACCTCAAACACACATCGGAACTTTCAGTGTATCCCCGATATCTCACAACATGACACCATCAACAATATGAAAAAACACACTTCCCTGCTCCAGGAGACACATCTCGCAGGTAGCAAAGCCCTGCCTGCAAGTCGTAATAAGCTGGAACGTTCAGTATGCTAAAATCAGACGTGAAAAGTCTCACATCTCTAAACCGAACCGTCAAGGCTGAGAAGACATGCACCGCTTTGGCCTAGTCACCACTGCAGAGGAGTGACTAAGGAAGTGGCAGCCAGCAATTGCTCAAGTTTTGCAAGCAGAACACGGCAGAGACGCAGAACATACACGACACTTCACAACTACATAAAAGGCTAAGGCATGACGCCATACAAGAAACTTAAGAATATAGGTGGGTCTTAATTTGATACGCTGCACTCCTCCAGTCCCTAGGATTCTAAATTACCTACTGTATATACAGGACTGACTGGAAACCAGCATGCATGGAGACGTGAAAAATACTACATCTGAGCTAGAAAAGCAAACTGGGACACAAAAAAAAAAAAGTCATTTACTGGAAGAAAAAATGCTGGACAGAACAGGCGGGACACTCAGCAGTGACTGAAAAAGCCCAAGTTATACAGTGTCAAAGCCAGCTTCAGGGATAGTTTTCAAGAACTCCCAGCACTAGAGCACAAAACCCAGGTGGGTGCACAACAGCGTCAATCAGACAAGGATCAGAGCCCCTGGTACAGCTCTCTCTCTCTAAACAAAGCTGCTAGTGATTTCAGAACAGGAGCTCTTAAGATGTCCCTTCTGCAGCACAGGAGTAGCTGAGAACAGTTTTAAAACAGGAAGTGCAAGCAAAGTATACCGAAGCTGGTTCATCATGAAATGCAGAAAATGAAGGAAGAGGAAGGGCTTTGTCTAGATCTTACTATTAGAGGAAATCACAATAATTCCAAATATCGCACTGTCGAGGCTTATTTTAGTGTAGTGAAAATGCCAGCAGCAGCAAAAAGCAGAACTATTTATCAGCTAATTTCAATTAAAAAAAGCTTAAAAAATAAAATCGTTACCTCACATTTAACACTGCCATATGGTGTTACAAGCACATGATACAATTTGTTTTAAGAAATGTATGCACTGATCATTGTATTGAATACAACAATATTTACCTACAGGAAAAACACAATATTTTACTTTTTATAACTTCTATCAAGAGTGCAAACTGCAGATGAGGAAACAAACAAGCAACCAACTGAACAGCCCCTTAGCCAATGGCTTATGAACTTACTTTTTCCCCTGTCTTTTTAATCCAACACTGTAGGTTTTCTTGCGCGACAAGAACTGTTTGAAAATAATTCTATACAAATGAATGTTCTGTAGAGCCAGGACCTTGCACAAGGATAGTGTAACCAGTGTCATTCACTTTGCTGTAATTATTGTGCACTATCACATCGGCACATCTATCACATTATGGTAATGAACCATAAAGTCACTTTGTGTGTCGAGTGGGTCACGAACACTCTAGTGAACTCTGGCAGTGTGAAGCAATACCCCTGATGCTAAGCTGAGGTTAATTAAAAAGGGACGCTGTTAAGCACTCCAGTCAACAGGTTTAATAAGAAGATTAAATTACAACTTCGTGTTGCTCTGGGAACTTGACTTTTCTATATTTTCCAATGGACGTAATATTTTATTTGCAATGCAATTTTCTTAGTCAGCAGCAAGGTTATCAATACAGGAAGCAAACACTTATCCTACCCACCATGAAATTATCACTGTTACTTAAACATGTCTAACAAGCACACATCCATCACAGTCCTATTAACAGTGATGCTCCCCCGACATCAAAATGACAAGTCTGTGAAGTGCTGGGTTTTCACAAAAGCAGCAACACCTCTCTCCCATCTGAGTACTGTCGTCATTTTAAAAACAGCCACTGCTTACTGCTGCAGAATGCAAACACATCAAATAATCAGGCCTTCAATATACCACCTCTTTTATCCCTCCCTCTTTCCAGAGACAGAACTAAGCACCCCGCTCTCTCGCCCATCAGCCACCACCTTGCGTGAGGTGACTCAGCTCTCAGTGTCTTCCAGCGTAGCGACTGTATGTCTCTCTCAGTGCTCGCTGCAGGATTAAAACTCTAAAGCTGTACTGTGGAAATGAATAGCAACCTGCAGGCAGAGCTCATTCAGGGTCTGTATGACAGAACACAGTTTCACATGTGCAGAGCCCTGAACATCCCTAGGACTGTGTGACGGTACATGCCCACCAATCCAATATTCTGTAAACCCTAGTATAAGTAAATGTTCTCCACTAGCATGCGTGGTTGTATAGACCGGACCTGCCTGTGTTGGAGCCCACTCCATTTTATGCTAGATGTTGTCAGGCATGTACTTTCAGTATTAGTGGGGAAATGCTTTGGTTATTTAAATCCAAGTGCTGACACTTCTGGGTGCGAATCATTGTTCTTGCTTTTGTGTCTAGGCAGCTCCTACGATAATCTACCCACTTCCTCCAATACGAGACATTTGCAAAAGTGGTAAAAAGGTGGCTTTCTAAAACATAACCCCTTTTTGACGCTTCCTACTTTGAAACCTCTGCGATTGCTACTCCATAAACAGGCAGTAAGACTCAGATCCAGGCATGGCCAGAACAGTACTGTTTTTTTTTCCGTTCTGCTGCTGACACACATGAGTAAAAACGATTCCCTCTCCACGGTTTTTGTGGGAGGACTGTAGGCGGTTTAGTTTTAGACATTTCAATTCCAACTCCTCCAAAATAATTAGCACACTGACCCCTGTAGAGCGTTTCGGTTGGGTTTAAGGCTGCTGGGACACATCTAGAGTCCATGGAACCTGGCAAAATGATTTATCTTGAATGTCTGGGCTGATGTGGGGGCGTCACTGAAGATTTGTAACTGGCGATTTTAAAAGTGGCCTGGCCTTTATTATAGGTATTCATATACAGAGAGACACACAGGTCGGACAAAAGCTACATCCCAAGAAGTAAATCAATCAAACGAAATGAATTATACTGTAATTCAACCGTGTACTTGATAACTGTATTTTGTAGCTTTATCGTTCCAGCCAGTGCGAAGAGTTTACCTCCTTACTAACCGGAAAGCGACCACCTCTCAGGGCATTGAGAGGTTAAGAGTGATTCATTCGTGATCACTCACGTCCCCAGACTGTCAGACACTCAGTCCAGCGACTCAGCAAACGTCATTTGCAGCAGATACGCCAAATGCTTGTATTTTATAGCCAGGACGGCTGAAATACAAAAACAGGTTGCAGGTACGTGCGAGGTACGCTTTCACAACGCAGACGACCTGACCTCGAGTGAAAAGTCACCAGAAAAAAAATTCTCGTGAAATACCGACACAGGAGGTTTCAAGTTACACAGTTTTTGCTGTAACAAAACTCACGTCTGAATCAGGAGTTCCTCCTTGACCAACTGCATGTTCGTATAACAATATCGCTGTAAACCGTATTTGTCAATTAAGAGCACGTAATGTTAAAAGGCAAGGTTACGGAACAAGTCTGCTGTAAAAGGTGAATTTGGGAAGTAGATGACTTATTTCCAAATATATCGATACGGACGCACTGTTAATAAATCATTCGAGTCTCACAATCGTTCTCGTTTATTCGAGACAGCGCGACTAATGAGCGCGCCTCCAAACACGCACACATTGACATGCCAAGCAGTAAATGAATGCTGACTGGCAAGAACAAATACACAAATCCCGTGTTATTTTCGGAAAGCAGGAAATCAGTGCGGAGCGCCAGCCGCAGGCATGAGGAGACAGTTGGGGGAAATAGCTGCCCTCAGTCTGAATGTAGGACGAAAGCTAAACACGCCCGGGGTGCGTTGCATCACTCCTTACAGTTTTCTTACCAGTTCGTTTTGGATTTCTCGTCCACCACCTCTTTATAAGCTGCAGTGATGGCCGGGCCGTTTTTGCTCAGGTTGACAGACATGATCCCGTCACCGTGTTCCTCCTGGAGACCCTGTGCAACTCAAATTGGTTGCAGCCCGACTTTGACCGTCTGAGCCACCGCGGATGGTTATCGCAGTCCTGCTTTAAACACAGGAAGCGACGAGCCTCGCCGAAACACGTAAGCTCCAAACCGAAATGCAAGCGAGCGCCGCATGCAGCTTACGACTGCCCCCTACTGCTTGGAGGTGAAATTTCCGAAAGTTTTGAAAGGGTTTTTGTGCTGAGGCCCCGCCAGTTTTTGGGTGCGCTTTGTCCTGCAGTGTTCATGGACTGTGCAGTACCGGTACAGTCTGTATGTCCATTGCATTATTACATTTTTATTTTTATACCGATGAAGCAGTATTCAAAATTGTAGCCTAATCTCTCAGACCTTATAAAGTAG